CAACGATCAAAATAACCCACCAGTCCTTTTCAAGTGGCTTCATACCCATCCACTGTGTCGCTTTTCCTGTTAGACCTCTGTTTATCTTTCCTTTTTCTAGTATTATTAAAAATATTTTTTCCTCATACTATATATAGGGATTGCAGTTTCCCCCTTCTCCTATTCCACCCCACCTCCCCTGCCCTCTGGATCCACCCCTCTCTGTCTCTCATTACAAAAGTCCAGGCTGCTAAGAGATAACGATCAAACCTGACAAAATAAAATATAAGGCAAAACAAAACCATCACATTGAAGATCTACAGTGCAAACCATTAGAAGCAAAAGCGCCCAAGAGCCACTCAGTCACACACTCAGGAATCCCATGAAACACTAAAGTGAACGCTATAACATAGAGGCACAGACCCCTGCAGGCACTGTGCGTGCTCTTTCCGTCCCTGTGAGCTCGTGTGAGCCACGCTCAGGTCATTCAGAGGGGCCTTGTTCTCTTGTGTCTTCCATCTCCCTGGCTCTTATATTCTTTCTGCTTCCTCGTCCTCGGGGATCCATCTGAGGGGATGCATTTGGCCAGGACATCCCATTCAGAGCTCTGTATTCCAAGATTTCTCTCTCTGTGAAATGTCTGGCTGAGGTTTACTGAACTGTTCCCATCTGCTGCAGAAGGAAGCTTCTCTGATGATGGCTGAATACGGAAGGCACTGATCTATGAGGATAGCAGAATATCTTTAGGAGTCATTTTATTGTTTCTTTTTGTTGTTGTTGTTGTTTTATACCAGTAACATTTGGTTATAGCCCATGTCTCTGGGCTGTTTTGTCTCTGGTTCTTTGTAACCCAATCAGTGTCACACATTCAAAGAAGACAATGGATATTTATCCTACATTATGCACTGTTGAATGAACCCTGGCATATCTTGCATTGTTCATCAAAGTTTTTGCATCTGGGTTGGTGTGTACACTTCTCTTTTAATCGACTGTAGCATACCTTCCTATACCAAAGACACTAGAACATGGCGGTGAAGTTCTGTGTAGGCACAGCTCCATGTTTCCAAGCTTAATGAGTTGTGTAGGCGTTGTCGTCATCAATGGGGCTTTTGTTCTCAGTCTGTGGAGAGCAACCTATTGGGTTTTCCATGGGACCTCTTTTGCCAACAACTCAATTGAATGTAACCAAGTCATGGTACTAGATGCTTCATTAGTGACAAGGCTATGTCTCCCACATTATTTGGAGACTTCATTAGGAGTGGCTTCTTATAGTTTAGGAAGTTTCCCCTGCACTAGGTTTCCATACCAGCCCTCAATATCCCTCAATTCTAGCTGTCTCTTCCTACATTCTATCCCTTCAAGCCATTTCTCCTCCCTGCCTGATCCCCTCTGATGCCCCTAGTCCACCCATGAAATCTATTTCATTTTCCCCTCCAGGGAGATTCATGTATCCCTCCTAGTCCCATTGTCTGTATCTAACCTTTCTGGGTCTATGGATGGTAGCTTGGTTATCATTTATTTAATGGCTAATATCCACATATAAGTGAATACATACATGTCTATCTTTCTCAGTCTGGGTTACCTCACTCAGGGTTTTTCCCTAGTTCCATCCATTTACTGCAAGTTTCACGATGTTGTTTGTTTAAACAGCTGAATAATACTCCATTGTATAAATGCATCACATTTTCTTCAGTCTTTTGTTGAGGAACGTGTAGGTTGTTTCCAGGTTCTGGCTATTATGAATAGAGCAGCAATGACCGTGGCTGAGCAAGTGTCCTTGTGGTAGGATGAAGTGTCTTTTGGGTTTGTGCCCAAGATGGTATAGCTGGATCTTGAGGTAGATAGGTTCCTATCTACCTTCTGAGGAACTGCCACACTGATTTCCATAGTGGCTGTATAAGTTTGCCCTCCCACTGGCAATGGAGGAGTGTTCCCCTTACTCTACATCCTCGACAGCACCAACTGTCACTTGTTTTCCTGATCTGAGCTATTCTGACAGGTAAGACGGAATCCCAAAGTCATTTGATTTACATTTCCCTGATGGCTAAGGGTGTTGAACACTTCTTTGAGTGTTTATTAGTTATTTGAGTTCACTCTATTGAGAAATCTGTCTATATCTGTGCCCAATTTTTAAATTGAACTATCTCTTTTTATATCAAAATTTTTTGTTGTTGTTGTTTTCGTTTTTCGAGACAGGGTTTCTCTGTGTGGCTTTGGAGCCTATCCTGGCACTCGCTCTGGAGACCAGGCTGGCCTCGAACTCACAGAGATCCGCCTGCCTCTGCCTCCCGAGTGCTGGGATTAAAGGTGAGTACCACCAATGCCCGGCTATATCTAAATTCTTGAGTTTTTTTTATACTTTGGATATTAGTACACTGTTGGATGTGAAGATGGTAAAAAATATTTCCCCTTCTGTAGGCTGCCACTTGTCCAAATGATGATGCCCTTTGCCTTGCAAAAGCTTTTCAGTTTCATGAGGTCCCACTTAGTTGTTGATCTCAGTGTCTGTGCTATTGTATTCTGTTAAGGAAGTCTTCACCTGTGCCAATGAGTTCAAAGCTATTCCCCACTTTCTCCTCAATCAGGTTCAGTGTATCTGGTTTTATGTTGAGGTCTTTGATCCATTTGGAGTTGAGTTTTGTGCAGGATGATAATTATGGATCTATTTGCATTCTTCTAAATTCAGTCATCCAATTTGACCAGCACCATTTATTAGGGATGCTGTCTTTTTTTCCCCCAATGTGTATTTCTGGCTTCTTTATCAAATACCACATGTCCATAGGTGTGTGATTTATGTCTGGGTCTTCAATTTGATTCCATTGATCACTGTGTCTGTTTTTATGTCTATAAAATGCTGGTTTTTAAATTACTGTAGCTCTGTAGTACAACTTGAAATCAGAAAGTGAGACATCTGGCAATTATACTATTGTTCAGGATTGTTTTAGCTATCGTGTGTGTGTGTGTGTGTGTGTGTGTGTGTGTGTGTGTGTTTTGATATTAAACTGTAGAATGCTTTCAAAAGGGATGACTTTTTTACTATGTTAAACCACCTGATTCATCAGCATGGGAGATCTTTCCATCTTCTGATATCTTCTTCAATTTCTTTCCTCAAACACTTGACATTTCTATTGTACAAGCTTGGTTCACTTGGTTAGAGTTACCCAAGAATTTTGTATTATTTGAAGCCATTGTGAAAGGTGGTGTTTCCCTGATTTCTTCCTCAGTCCATTTGTCATTTGTACATAGGAGGGCTACTGGGTTTTGTGAGTCAGTTTTGTATCGAGCTATTTTGCTAAAAGTGTTTATTAGCTGTAGGAATTTCCCGGTGGAATTTTTGTATGGGTTACTTATAAATTATATATTATAATATCATCTGAAAATAAAGATACTTTGACTTCTTCCTTTCCAAATTGTATGCACTTGATCTCCTTTAGTTGTCTTATTTTTCTATCTAAGACTTCAAGAACGCATTTGAATATGTGTAGAGATAGTAGACAACCTTTTCTTGTTCTGAATTTTTGTGGAATTGCTTTGAATTCATCACTATTTAATTTGATGTTGGCTGTAGGCTTGCTGTAAACTGCCTTATTGTACTTCACTATGTCCCTTGTAGCTCTAATCTCTCCAGGCCTTTATCATGAAGGGGCATTGGATATTGTCAAAGTGCATCTAGTGAGATGACCATGTGGGTTTTCTTTCTTTCAGTTTGTTTTTTTGTTGTTGTTGTTGTTGCATACATTTATTAATGTTTCTTACATTGAACCATTCCTGCATCTCCAGGAAGAAGCCTACTTGTTCATGGTGGATACTCTTTTTCATGTGTCCTTGGATTCGTTTTGCAAGCATTTTATTGAGTATTTTTTCATCAATGAGAAAAATTGTCCTGTAGTACTCTTTCTTTGTGCAGTCTTTATGGTTTAGGTATCAGGGTAACTATGGCCTTATAAAATGAAATGGGCAATGTTCCTTCTGTTTCTATTTTGTGGAATAATTTGGGGGAGTAGTCACATGAACTCTTCTTTGAAAGTCTGGTTGAATTCTGTGCTAAAGCTACCTGTCCCTGTGGTTTTGGGGGTAGGAAGGTGGGGGGGACATTCAGTGACTGCTTCTATTTCACTAGGAATTGTAGGTCTGTTTCAATTCCAATCTTATCTTGATTTAACTTTGGCAAGTCACATCTATGGAGAAAAATTTTCCACTTCTATTGGATTTTCCCATGTGGTGGAATGAAAGTTTTTTAAGTATGTCCTTAAAATTGTCCGTATCTATTGGATTTTCCCATGTGGTGGAATACAAGTTTTTAAGTATGTCCTTAAAATTCTCCTGATTCCCTCAGTGTCCATTATCTCTCCCTTTTTACTTCTGATTTTGCTAATTTGGATATTCTCTTTCTACCTTTTAATTTGGATAAGGGTTTGTCGATGTTATTGATTTTCTCAAAGAACCAATTCTTTGTTGCATTGGTTTTTGTATTGTTCTCTTTGTTTCTATTTTATTTATTTCCATCTATTC